ATTATGGATTCATTTGAAGAATGGTGTCAATACCTAAAAGGTACTTCTAATCTAGTCACCATATATATCAATTATATGAATCTTAAATATTTCATAGGAATAGATGTTTTGAATTTTTGCCAAACTTGTTAAATTATATCTTTATTAAGATTTGTTTTTAAGATTATTTATCAACCATAAAAACAAAAAAGTTTATCAATTATTCTTTTTAAATATTCTATTTTAATTAAAAGAAAGAAATATATTTTTTAATCAATAAATAATGATTCTCTTGAAGCTATAGCATTTTCATCTTTGAGTAATGAAATCAATATTAATTATTAATTTAATATTTTTGAAACAAATTCAATTGAATATGTTCTTTGATTTTGTTGTTTATGATATTAAGAATAATTATTTAAACTCAAGCATCAATGAATACTTGATGCTTGAGTTTAAATATTCTTACTATTAAGTCAAGACAATCCTCAAGCCTTTGTTTTAGAAGAAGTACACTTGAGATCTCTAGCCATTGCGGATTTGTAATCATTGTACTAAATATATCTAAATATTAAAAATATCTAACAATGACCATAGAATCTTTAAAAATCTCAAATAGTTTTCTTATACTTCTAATAAGAGAGAATAGAAGAATTATCCTTTGTTCTAAATTTTGCATGTTAACTTCTTAATTTTGCACATTTCCAAAAATATTTGTCACTCCTTGATATTCATTTGTATGTAACATATTCTCATTCATACTAACATATTTTAATTGATTTTTCTTTGCTGTTGTTGAAGCACCTACAATAAATTCTTATAGCAACTTTCCACCTTGTAAGATAGTTAAATATTAATAATACCACAAAAACAATTGATATAAATAAAATTTCATTTGAGTAATACATGGACTCCATATATTTTCACTCCTATCTTTATTGGTATTCATGTTTCTATATGTCGTTTAGTCATATCATCTAAGTTTTTTATATGGAAAAAAAATAATAATATAGTGGAGTTGCAAGTATGTGAGATGTCCTTCATGAATTTGTTGCAATGCACCTTCTTTCTATAAAACGAGTATATTTCTAATTTCTTCTACCTTTATTCCATTACCCAACGCAACTATTGCAATTTCATTAGAAGTTCAAAGATTATAACATCTTCTTTTGACATCATTATTAAAATGAATATATATGTGTATATTATCACCACTCACTCTTCTTTCTCTTGCTTTGGATAAAATTTCATGAGCTTATCAACAAAGTGAAAAAAATATGTGATGTTCTCTTAACTATTCTTGAAGCTCTTGCACTATTTGAAATGATAAATTGCTATTACTTGCCATCCTTGCTTCATATACAATATTAGAGTCATAAATATAAAGTTGCATAAAACTTGCTTCTACACCTTCTTCTAATAAAAAAAATATTTATTTGATATTGAAGCTCTTTAAGTATACAAAAATTATATAGATTAAATCCTTGTAAGATAGTATTATCAATTTTGCACGAAGAAATGTAAATGTCTGTGCAACATTATATTATCAAATAGTCTTTCAAAACTCCTTATTTTATTCATCTTGTCCATCAAGTAGTTATTTTGATTAATGATGGGGGATCTTAAAAAAGTAGAAATTGAACCTTTCCATAAAAACAAGATGTACGAAATTGTGGATTTAATATTGTTGATGGAATGGTTTGTTCATCCATCCAATGGAGTGCCTTGCAATGTGAGCATTAAATGTCCATATTTCCAATGTCATGATGACCTTCCAATCTTTTTCTTTTATTTTGATATTCATGAAAAAGTTGCTCCACTTGTTCAACAATTTCTTTTGTTCTATTATATTTTCTTGCTTCTTCTTCCCGTTTTGTATATAAGATTGTTTCTTTCCATGTCCTTTGCCTAGTTTGCACCCTCTTATAGTTCCAATGATTAATATCATCTCTCACTACTTAATGTCTTTCATGATCTCTTCTACATTGTTCACCAATTTTTTTCCAATTAGGATTAACATTATCATCTACAATGCTTACACCCTCACTCTAAGCTCTCTCCCAATTTCTTTGATATTGAGAAAGTCTTCTAAGATAATCTGTTTTAACTTCTCTTTATGCTCTCTCACATTCTCTATGATATTGTTGAACATTTTCTTTCCAATTACTTTCTATTATTGTCAAAGCTAGACCACTAACAATGGCATAGGTTCAACCAATCAATCAAACTGAATTTATTTTAAAAATTAAAAAAAACAAACTTGCAACCTTCAAAATTGTATGCCAATAGAATTCCAACAAAACTACATTGCTTAAGTACTTAAGTAAGATTACATAATGCATGTAAAATAAAAAATTAAAGCATACAACTTAATTATTCAAATAATAATGCCACTATGTTTTGACAATATGTTATAGCAATACAAAAATAAAGAGCTTACATCTATATATTTCTACTGATCATAAAATATGCACAAAATATCCACCTCAAAATCCTACAGACAATCCAGTTTCACGCACACACACAACCCAACAGTGCACAGATAGATTATGTTAATATAGAACATGTCATAGAAGCGTGGAATTCTTTTACAAATGTAGCTTGAGCACCACGCTTTCTCAATTGGGTTTGATTGTTTGCTTTAGTAAAGCTCAGGAAACGGGCTACAATCACTAAACTACATATCAATTTCACCTGTTATCGTACAGAATGTGCTTACAAAAACCGGGTTTAGTTTTTTTGCTACTCACCGCAGCATTCAGCATTTTAGCATTTCACCACATCATAAAATATTCTTGGGATGTATCCCACGGATATAAAATATCACGCTTAACACAACGCTCTTTCAGTCCATCACGAATCCAAGCGTTAATAACATAAAATATCATAAAATATTCGTTGGTTTGTTGGATGGAATTGGAACTCCAGCCTCCTCGAAGAAATATGCTCGAACACGTCAACGAACAAATCTTATGCTCTGCTATGAGTGTGAGCTTCTTCCTGCCTCAATCAAATGGTAACGATATCCACAAAAAGTTAGAAGAAGTCTACATTGCCAAGTACTCAAAATTTGGTACTAATTCTCAAAAAAATTAAGTACATCGAAGGCAAAACTCAAGTACCTGCGAGACACTCTTGTCTACTGAGGCAGGTAATGGAAATAGCCGCTTCTTCCCAGCCGATAAACCGAGAACTTCCTATGAGAGTTAAATCCACATCTGAGTATGTTCACAAAAACAATGGTCGGTATCAGGTTTTCAGTGTCGAGGAGGTGGCAAGTCGTACTCCAGGACCGTGTGAGCACAATGCGATGAAGCGATGAATTAAAATAATAATTAATTATTCTATAGCACTAAACTATTCCAAAAATATCTTATGTGACAGAAATCTTAATTTTAAAGTATTAAAAAACACTAGTTTAAAAATCTTTAATCTAATTTCAAATTTTTAAATTGTATAATATATATACAAATCATTTTATAACAAAAAATAGAAAAAGTTTCCATGGTATTTTTTGAAAAAGATATTTTATCGGTATCTACATTTTCGAAATTAATTAATGTTTTAATTATAAAGAATATCAATGAAAAAAGAGATATTACAATATAGATTAAAACATTTAGAACTTATTAATATTAGTTGTCATCCAATTGATTCAATAAAAATAGGATACAATTTTTTGAAAAGTTTATTTAAATTCTTGTTTATATATAGAACTTTATATTATTTAAAATAATTTAGCATCTCAAAATAACATTTTGAACGAGTAAAATTAAAGTTTATGCTCTGATTACTAAATATGAAAAACACCAAAGAATAATTTTACGCTTGTGTAAATTCTTAAGACATATTTGATGAAATTTATACATAATCCACATTTACTACTATATTTATACATATTGGAAAACTTATAATCAATGTTAAAATATTTATAATTTATTGAAGTTGGTAATTTTATTTAATTGTCAATTTTTTAGATCAATCCAATATAATTTGAAGCTTTGATTTTATTTAATTTAATAAAAAAAGACTCAATCTACATGTGGTTGATACATCTTCACAACTACAAATTATACTTCAAAACAGGTTTGGACCAAAACTCTTTTATGATTTTTCTACAAAAAAAATGTCTACATTTCTATATGAACTAATTGTCACAAAGTCTTTTTATCCATTATATCTTATTAGCAACCAAGACATATATTATATCAATGTAATAATTAAAAACATGATTGATTTATCTAATTTTTCTTACAGCTTGCAAATCCAATACCATATTACATGCAAGAAGTAGTCAAACAAAAACCTCCAACAAAATTTTGGTAATAATGCTCTAAAAATATACTTTGACCAAACAAACGAACAAAAATAACATTAATGCGCACCATTTTACACAAAGATTGTAAACAAAATGCACTAAACCTCCACTATTCCAATCAGTTCCAAAAACAATGGCACTTAATTCCAACACAACAAGCAAACTCTATACATGTCAAAAATAAACACAAACAAACAATAACACTATCGCTTATTCAACACAAAGTTGCAACAACCAAATTCATAATATATCAACATCACTGCATCTTCCCAAGACCTTGCCAGCCCACGTAACATACAATACACCAAAGTTGAAGTGAATAAATAAATAAATAAATAAATGTATGCATTGATTGACAAAGATGAGTTGAAAAAGAACAGCATAAAACCCACATGGCAAATGTAATGTCACAGGCAAGGCATGGCATGGCAGGGTGGGGAGGGGCTTTGATAGAGAGGAAGCATGATGATGCAGGAGAGGGGAAGAGTGAATGCACTCAGTGAGTGCGTGAGAGGTTCTTACAAACACAACACAACATAAATCAGTAAATCAATCAGAAAATCAATGAAGGAAGGAAGAACGAAAAGGGGAGAAGGAGAGAGGCCACCCACTCGCACACTCACTGCCAGACCCCAGTGCCCCTTTTCACACCGGTTGCCCTCTTCCCTCGTCCCTCTCCCTTGTCGCACTTCCTCTCAGGGAGTAGGGGAGGCCCCTGTTCCCAAAATACCTTGTTCCTCAGTTTATTTGTTTGTTAGTGTGTTAGTTTGTACTGTATTGTAGTGCAGTGCTGGGCTCCTCTGCTTCCTTGCTGGTGAGATAGATAGCTTCGGAGGGGTCCGCCATGGGGCTTGCGCGTGCCTACCTCGCCGTCTACAACTGGGTATTGTTCGCTGGATGGTAATACCTTTGCGCTTTTGTGCTTGCATTGATCGTTTCCTTGGGCGAGATGGGGTTTTTTCGAATGTTGTTGCATCGGTTTTTTGTTCCTTTGGGTGTAGGAGAGAGAGCGAGAGAGAGAGAGTGAGCAGGCGAGGGTGTGCGGTTGTGCAGCTGGGTAGAGCGAGGGGAGTTCTCTTGTGTTCGTTTTTTTTTTTTTTTTTTTTTTTTTTTTGATGTTTGTAGTTTATTTCGCCTTCCTCTGAGGGATGGGATGGTCGAGGACGAAATTTTCTGGGTGATGGGTTGTTCTCCTGCATTGTCTTTTTAGAAGCGAATGGTGCTGCCATAGCTGTGAAATCGCCATAGGTTTGATCGATGATGAGAGAATGTTGTTGTGACTGGAGGAGGAAAACACTTCGGCATTTCAGAATAAAATGTTTATTTTCTTTCTCGGACTGTGCAGGTCGCAGATTCTGTACTCTGCAGTCTTTGCGTTGTACACACGAGGCCCTCCTGCCGTGTACGAAGCTGTGGAGAAGCCTCTCCAAATATGGCAGACAGCTGCCCTGCTTGAGGTTCTCTTCCACCTCCCGTAGTATCCTGAATCCGCCATGGTAGTTTATTTTGCATGCAGGATTTGATTTTTTTACCATTTTGAGAATCCATTCAAGGACTAGTTTTCAATTTAGGCTGGTTGGGAATGTAATTGTCTTGAAGAGTTGCCAAGTTTATTATTGATGAGCTGCTTTGCTGTGTGTTAAATGTGGATTTCAATCTGTGAATCTGGGTCTCTAGATATTCAACAGTATTGTAGGTACGCACTTCGCCCCTACCTTCTCTGTCTCATGCGGTGCCCCGAAGTACGTGCATTTGATCTTATGTTCAAAACAACACGACACTTTTACTTGCGGTGCTATTTGAGCATTTCATCAACCTCTACAATTTTGGCTCAGGGATCACAAGCTCTCCGGTCACAGCCACGCTGCCACAGATTTCATCGCGTGTTTTCATCACATGGGGTGTTCTGTTCAGTTTCCCCCAAGTAAGAGACATGTACATGGCCTCTTTATATTTGTGGATCTTAATCCCTCAACAAAGTCTTCACACACACACACACACATACATATATATTGATAATTTGAGGATATTGCATAGGGTGTACAGTTGCCGAGAGCAATCCCTGTTCACCTGTTTTTGAACTTCTAATCGTAAAGAGTTGGAGGATAAATTGCAGGTGAGGGATCACTGGTTGGTGACGTCGTTGATCCTCAGTTGGGCTGTTACAGAGGTGAGAATTTGACAAGGTTAAACAAAACACTAATTCACTCACAATTATGCTTTATGCAAGAGATGTTGCTCACTTTCTTTACTTCATTTTATTTGTTACTAGGTCATCCGATACTCATTCTTCGGTCTGAAAGAGGTGTTCGGATCACCACCCCGCTTTCTTCTCTGGCTAAGGTTTGACACACTCCATTAAATGTGCGCATTGATTTCTTCCACATTATTGTTCTCCGTTTTTAATAATCAATCCCTCCGACAGTTACAGAATGTTAGCTCTTATTTATCATTGTAAATGGCGCATTCATTTGGTTGGATTCTTCACGTTTCACTATTTAGAAAATAATATTCTATCCATGGAATCATTTCCAGATATCCATAGCTAATTACTACTCTTACAGGTACACTACTTTCTACGTCTTATACCCCACTGGCATCTGCAGTGAGGCCGGTCTGATCTTCGTTGCTTTGCCGTTCATGAAGGTAGGCACCATGCTCTCCTATTCCTTCGTTCTTTAACTTGGACTTCTAATAAACTTTCTTTGCAGAATGTGTTCTTGAGATCATGACGATTAACAGGTCTCCTTATTCATACTACAGCGCTAATAATTGCAGCTTGTGCTCCTTGTCGACAGGAAACCGGTCTTTACTCTCTGCGCATGCCAAACAAGATGAACTTTGGCTTCGATTATTATTACGCATCGATCTTGGCTATCCTTGCTTATATCCCAGGTTCACCGTCTAGCTTAAATCTTCATAAGAGAGTTTCTTTTTTGTTTTTTTTTGTTTTATTTTTAATCTCTGGCTACATTACAGCGAAGAGAGCTGTGGTTTTTAACATGATAAGGGTACATGTATGTGCCTGCAGGAAGCCCGGGGATGTACTCGCATATGATTCGTCAACGAAAGAAGGCTTTGGGTGCAAAGCCGAAGTCTGTAAAAGGTAGGCAGCTTAAATGTCGTAATTTACATGCTTTAAATACTATCTATTAAGCAATTTTAGTTTCGATGAGCGTTTTCTTGACTCTCCTTTTTCAGTGATGATCGTTTTATATGCTCTGTTTTTGTTCTTTTCGTGAAAATCTTATGTGTGGTCGTCTGATTGTCAAGTACTTATAATCTGTGCAGAGACATAGGCATGTAGAAAGATTCATGGAATGCTTCTACTACTGGATAGCAATGTTGGTTTATCTAGCACAGAATTCCGTGGTAGTTTTTGGATTACTACCTATACGAGGTGGTTATTTATCAGGATCATAAGCAACGCGACTGTGAGTTGCTTGTGTCAGCTGTGTCAGAATGATTTACTAATTGTCAGAATTTGGTATATTTCAATTGACCACATTATTCGCACCAACTGCAATAAATGATTTCTTGCACCCGCAGTCCCACTCCCTGTACTGCATTAGGTCACTTGTATTGCCTCCAATGACCAAGTTTTCTCGCTACTTTCTGACCAAGTGCTAAATGTACTGCAATTTCCGACAATTATTATACCCAATACACCACTAGAGACCCTGCCTGATCGTTTGGTGAATGGCTGTGTTGCACTGAAGCTCGCTACAACCATAGGACCTTCGGAGCGGCTTCAAGTTTGTCATGACAGTGAATTTCAAACTGGTATCGATGCCTAGCACTTGGAATATGGCTGCTTTGGTTTAACTGTATTCGGAATGGAAGCATGGCCCGCTCATTGTGTTCCTGGAGGACTTTTTGCAGTCGATAGATTAGTGCAGGGTATTGTTAACGCCACCACATTTTTTGTTATTGCCACCACAATCTGCTATCCACTACAGTCCACTAATTTTTAATTTTTTGCGAGTGTCATCATAATCTGTCATCCAGAACACGTTAACTACACCTTTTTTCAATACTAAATAAATAATAGTCTTTTTCAAATTATTTAGTAACGCTTATATGTTTTCAATATTCTGTTAAAAAAATTAAAAATTACTTTTTCTGAAATTTTCAATTATCGAGAAAGTAATAATTTTATTCTGTTTAACCTTGACCTGGAGGTTACTGTGAGGAAGTTGAACGCAAACATTTACCTTTTTGAACAGACATTTTGAAGTCCGGAGAAGTCATTTGCTGAGAATTCGCCACTCAAATGTCAAAATCTATTTGCTGTCACACGAGAACCTGGTTCTGAGAAGAACCACGATTATGGGGCTCATAGATTGTGATCTCGGTTTTTCCACTACGAGAGTTCACAATGGAGCCGATTTGCCGTTGTGTTAGGAGGGATCTTCTAACTGGTTTTGCAAATTGCAGCAGGCATGAATCTCTGTGCACCAACTAGGATGTCATCGAGACCACATACCGCAAACTTTGCCGATGAAAAAGTCAGACACTGGTTTTATCACAAGCTATCGTCAGAAATTTTAGCTTTTTGGAGTTCATGGGTGATTCACCTTCCGATCGAGGTGCTCAACTGAACATTTGAATCTCAAAGCAGAGTTGTCACTAGATGTTCACGGCTTCGCAGTGGTGTGGTTAAAGATTATTGACAGGGAAAGAACCGTGCAGTGATCAAGCTAATAGGACGATAACTGAGAAACCATGTCCGCACAGATGCTCAATAAATAAGTTCTTATCAGAAATAGTCAGAAGATGTTGCGGCGCTCGTCAGGAAAGCCTTAAAGCTTAATGCAGCTGCAACGTCGGATACCCCAAAAAAGCTTGTGATAAGTTGGATCCTTATTCGAACGAGGGATCGTAGCACCCAGCATCAGAGAATGGAAGTGGGTTCCGATCGAGAGTGAACGTGATCTTTCCAAGTGATTTTGTTACTTCATTTCATTAATATTAAGGACCATTTTGGTGTGTCACAAGATGGGGCGGGCTAGTGATTCCATGGCTCGTGAAGTCGGGCGGTGAGGCTGCTGGGTATTGCTGGTCGCAGCGTGCCTGACAAGAAAAGTACTTCAGAATTGACAACTTGAGTCAACTAGAGAGAGCCATATGAGAGATCCATCGACTTCTGAAAGGGGAGGAAACCATATGGTGATCAATCCAGCTGGTACATTATGAACGGAGATTGCGAAGGCGGTTAGATGTTTTGAAAGGCACGGATCCCCAGCATTGAGATTAGCACTGCGCCAACTCTCGTGGTTTCTTGTAAGTGGCGCTTTGTTTATTAGTTCTGAAGAGCGACCTCACCCAACCACAGCCGCATGACAATTCTGCGTCCAGGCTGGTTCCTAGTCAAGCAAGTTTTTGCCATGTAGCTCAATGGCGGAGTCCGAGTAAAATGAACCGCCACTTTCAGTAAGATCTTGCTCCGACTTGCCATTATTCTAGTTCAGCTCAATGATTTTAAAAGATATCCTTCTACATGTGATTAAAATTGTGAAATGCTTCCCATGAATTGGTTTGCCCCGGAATCTCCATTTTCTCGTTTATAGAAAATGGAGTATTTGTGTTTTTGTAGTGCTTTATTATCAGTTGAATTTCTAGATGAATTCCCAAAAGAAATAGTGATGCAAATATCACTCAAGGATAGAAAACCATTAGTTTGTAAAGGGGCATGCGTGTTGGAGTTCTAAAATATGTTGATTGTTGAGGGCCTTAATGTGAAGAGTTTTGCCATGTATTGTTGAAAACGATTACTTCAGACGTGTTTTCTACAGTGTGGTCCATCAATGTGAATGAATGGGGGAATAGGCAATGAGTCTAAATTATTTAGGCTGCAAAGCTTCCAAATGCTGGGCATCGATCGAGTACCAATAGTAGCGCTATGCCAATTTTATATTTCTGGAAAATGTTGGTGAGCCAAATACAAAAAGGTATATACAGACCATTTGATGTAGCTGCGTTCATAATATGTTCACTCCAATCAACTTGAAGGATTGAGCACCAAGAGATATTGGAGAGGACCCTACATTAACTACTCTCATGCGTTACAGTAACATGTACCTATTAATAGAATCAACCTTAGGAGCTCTATTGTGCTACAAGAGCTCCTGTTAAGAGACAAAACTTAGGATTTGAACTCCTCACATTGTAGACTGCTTTCAGATTACTGTGCCATCAACCATAACGAAGTGATGTAAATCTTTATTGTCCATGGTTGCAATAGCGTTTCACAATCTTTATGCTATTGATGCAGCTGATGTACTTAACTATTGTTTTTTGTTACACAAGAAGAGTACACTATAAAACCTTCAGGAAGTTCATGCTTCTCACTGCAGTACTGTATACACCAACTCTACCAAGCAGTATTTTTTATCATGACTAGCTGAAGTAGAAATGTCCAAACCTCAACACAGAAACGTGGCGAAGTTCACCAAGTGAGGTCTTCACAAGGCGGGTTAGACTAACCACTCACGAGCTGATACACTTTGAGGACTGGTGCTGAAATGTGAAATGTGCTCTTCAAGAGATCAGAGAAAAGCCATTATTGAGAGGGTCTTACACCTGAAATATTTGCAGTAAAATCTACATGTTAGTGAACAAAAATTCTCAACCAATGGTATTCTCTAGTGTTAGCTTGTTCATGTACCTTCTTTTGACCATCTGCATTTGATGACTGATATCAAATAACAAGCGACTTTCAATAAATGTTAATAGAATAGGATAACTACACACTTCAAATGACGCAATATTTGTGATGCCGAAGACTAGATTGGTACAAGCATGAGGGAAAATTGGTAATGATGCAACTTACCGAATGCAAAGCCCCAATATGAAATTTGTAACCTATTTGGTGTTTTTGAAATTCTAACAGAGGCAATTTGCATGACTACTTCACCAAAGCAATATAGCTTGTGGGAGCTGTAGTTGATACAACATCCCCTTGGCGAAAATTAGGACTCCACAATTATTAATAATCTTGAATTAATCCTCATTAAGAGTGTACAAATCATCACCATGATACTCAGTAATAAGCTTTAGGAAATCTCATTACCTTGAAGAACTGAATCCAGCATTCAATCTTTGCGAGGTGTCCACTACTCACGACCTCGGTAATGGCGTTGATCATAACTACTGTCGACGCATGCTCAGCTTCACTAACACCTGTGAATGCATTCAGAACTTCAGTTCTTTCATACTTACTCCCTAGAGCCAAAGCTATAGTTGAAATTTTCCAAAATATTGATATTTTGTAATCGAACACCTACTAAACGCTACTAAATTGATCTAAAACATTCGAAGAAAATCTCGACCCTTGTTAGCTCTGTAGCTTGGACAACACCTAACAAAGACAAAATTCCAGAAAATTAGCATTTATATTGAGCGGCATTCTGTGAATTATCATGTAATGTTCTGGAAAAGAGAAGGGAACTGAGCAGATGAAGCCAATTTAACTTGGGATCAATCAACTAGTACTAGAAGTTAAAGTTGTGCAAGTCAGACATACCGAGAGATTAATCTGTAAATGTCTGATTTCATTTCCAGAATGAAATTTACTGCACCAATGGCAGCAGCATCCCCCCAAAAACCTTCACTTCACAAATAGTAGATCGCTAGGCTGCAACTGGGAATACATGACATTGAACCAAAAAACAGCAGTTGTGCAAGGAACTCTCAAAGTTTGTTCAAATTGAAAGTTTCCTTTTAGTCTTACTATTTTTGGCTGTAGGCATGAAAAACTGTAGATCTGGTGTTGCCCGCCTTTTGAGCGAAATCACATCTGCGGGGGACAAAAATGTCCTGTTATAAGTTGATTTATGTGCAAAGAGATTTCAATTACTCAATAGAATGTGACCCGAACACAATACACGGTACAACACATTACGAAAGTTGATACTACCCTTGCAAGAAAAATAAAGAATAAAGAACCAGCAGAAGAAGTAGAAGAAGAAGAGATCCTGTGTGCCAAATCAAATTTCTCAGATACATCCATTTCAGTGATGTCATCAACAAGAATCTTACCATAAAAGAAGCACTCATAAAATATCAACTTAGGCACCTGAAAGAGAAATCCGCACCTGCTATGATTTCCTCAAGTCGGCGCTGAATATCAGTGGCTACTGCAAAATCCATTTGAATAACTCCTGGGGTACCTGCAATATTCAATCATAAGAAGAACAAAAACTAGAACACAGAGCTTCTACTTCTAGAAGATTCTGTAAAAGTTTTAGAAATTGCTGAAATCTTGAACTCATGGAAGAATAAGTTGATGAAAAAAAACCCATCAAATAACCAAATGCCAGACATTTGAACGGGGCAAACCACATAAAGATTGTTCAAAACTACGTAGTTGAACAAAAGACTTACAAGGACTGTGATAGACTGGTTTATACATCCCAGAAAGACGAAAAGAACCTGGAGGGTGAACGGAAGCTCTTTCCACCAGCAACTTCAAGCAATGGCTAACCTCCTCAAAATCACCCACAAAATACTCTAACCTCTCCTCCTCTTTTTTTTCCAGCAGCACAGTCCGAGCCTTGCCCCGCTCTTCAGCGGACAAAGGCAGATCTTGCAAGACTTTCTTAGCCTCTTTCCAGCTTCCTACAAGCCTCCGATTATGATCTTCCTCAGTAACTATATTCTCCCCGGCCGCAATTCGAAACTTATCGGCAGTAAATCTCATATCAATTAGTTCAGGACCGAACAAAACGCCTTGGTGCTTGACATGGTCACCAAACATGCCATCCATTTTATCAAACCACACCCAGCTGCACGTCTCTGCTCCCGTACTTGCCTTTCTGCCCCTCTCCAACTTATGGCGCTTCTTCAAAGAGTCCAACTTATCTCGGCACTGCTTCACCGTCTTCCCACCTTCCCCTTCCATGTTGAAACGCTCCACTAGGTGCTCCCAGTCCTTGAATCGGAAGCTTCCCCTGTCCATTTCGAAGTACTTTTCTTCGTACAGGTCGAGGAAGAGGGCAACCGCGCGAGCTGACCATTCCTCCCTTTTTTCTTCACCATTTCTAACCGTGGGCTTCCTCTCCGTCTCTGCAGGCTGTAACGATGCTGTAGAGAGCATGCTCATGGGAGGTGGAGGTGGAGGTAGAGGCACAGACACAGGTAGAGGTGACTTGCTTCTGTCATCTTCCATCGCAACCCAATCGAGAGCTCCGATCGTCTTATAGCTCAATTGCGACCCAGAACTTCCCAAGAACAGGCCGTGAAAGCTCCCTCCCAACCAACCACTGGTGTGCATATGACACAAGTTTTAGATCACCATCAACACAAGGATGAGACTTAAATCCTAGATTCCTCTTCTGTATAAGAACAATGCATAGAAAAATATAACGCGTGGAGGAGGGCGCCAACGCAAGCACGATACTCACCGAACTTCTATCATCCCACACGAAGTCGTTGACACGAAACTCAGAATTACTACACTTGTTATTCATAGCCAAAACCCACCCCCTACTGCCAACATGCTCATACTAACGATCAAGAGAAACGGATACAAAACACGGTTGTCTGAAAGCTAAAGAGACGTCTCAAATAAGAGACTCTAACATATCAATATCCCTGCCAATTCAGATGAAAATCCCATCTCAGGGACTCGCGTGGAGAAAGAGACTAATCCGGTAAAATGCTCAAACAAGACTTGTGAAGGCAAATATCCATTCCAATGCTTTGCAATTGGCAAAAGAGGAACATCGCCAAACAGCTCCTCATCTGAAAAGAAACCGAGCACATTGACACAGAAACGTACTATGATTAGTACATTCCATGATATAAGCATGGAGAATCTTTCCTAGCTGCAGTAAAAAGAAAAAAACCTGCGCAATTACACTTACATGGCGACTAAGCGAGGCAGTAAAATTCGATATTTTCTCTCCCAGTGTTCGGTGGCATGCATCCGATTCTCGTGATAGTGAATCGGTTGCCAGACCCAAGTCAGGAGATCCGGCAAACAACAGGAGCAGCGATGGTCGTGGAAGCGGTGAAGGAGAAGGGTTCGGCCGGCTTCGAGAGATTCGGCCGGTAGCTCCCCCCCCCCCCCCCCCCATGGATGAATGAACGTCTGTCTCCTTTTCTTAGGATGGCTGTAGAATCGTATATGGGTACTTGGCTTTTTCATGTGCCTTGCCGCACTCCACCTTTCGCTCACCGACGAAACAATTCCTTTGCCACGTTTAGCTTGTCTTCATCCTCATTTCTTGTCACGCAGCCGTCATCTTGAAACAAGCAGAACATGTGGGTTCTGCATTGGAAGCCACCGACCAAGAATTTTCTGCAATAATCGTTTGCTTAGGATCCTGTGTCGACATGTGCACTGAATTGCTGCATATATATTCTCTGAGTGCGTGCTGAAACAATGCTTGTATTCACTCCATGTAAGTCTCGAGAGTTTGTGCTTCATACCATCCAAAATTTCCTGGAGAACAAGTCCGTCTGGCCTGAAAAAAACTTGACAAATTGGGTAGGACGAAACGCATGCCATTACAGCTTGTGGTGGTTTTTCGGGAAGATGATAAGTCGGCAGAATTTATACTGGGGAAAAGTAGGAGACAGATGGTGAATACGGCCGGGTGGGTAGTGTACATCCTCATCGCGGTTTAAACCAATGCGACAGCACATGTAATAAGGCTTGCTAAAACAGCTTCAACTATTCAACAACTCTGCGGATCATGCAGTTTTTGCGTCTCGAGCATTCGTGTTAGGATGTCATCAGGTGATTCTTCCAAACCTGGAATTTGGGGAGGCGTTATACGCGATTGTAGCACTTCCCCTTTCGCATTGTTCTTGCACAGATTGAGCTGCTCAACAGAGTGTGAATTAGCCCGTCTTGTTAAATTGTGTGGTGTCTACACAGCATCCAGAAAGGCCTACTCTACTTACATTGAATCTTCATCACCGGCGCTGGCCAGAGTACTGGAAGAGATTGGATCTTTCTTTAGTTTGGTATAGTGGTATATGGAATCTATAGCAGAGATGTTGTTGTTGTTGGTAAGTAACTACTCCTGTGATAATCTGATTGCTTAAGGTCTCATAAATAAACCTGCTTCGATGGTTTTCTCTCTCGATAATTACAGTCACACTCCCTGATGGTAGAGCAACAATTAGGTCTATTTCTCATTAAGGAAATCATTACATCTTCTAAGATTTTTGTTTTGCTTTTTATGAGATACAATCGTCTTCTACAGAACCCTACAGAAAATAAACTACAAAGCTCAATCTGGTGGAAAAGAATATCGTGATCTGGTGCACAACAGTTTCTGGTCAAATCTGAACTGACGGAAATAAATAGAGGTATCACAACATCCGCTCCTCAATTAAGACCCAGCAGCTGGGCCAGGTGACGTAGATCCTTGATCGATACACTAACAGAAGAAACAAAAACGTCGGGGATTAGAATGTTTACTTATAATACGAGGTTGATAAAACCAAGAATTCCAAGCGAGGTAATCGAATCCCACAGTAGCAAGCGCACAGCAAGGCAGGTTTCAATACGAGTCTTTTCAACAAAGCAAGATATAATGCAAATATTGGACCTGATCCAAAACCAAACTTGTCATCCATGTATGGTACTTGAAATCACTCAAAGATAGTGATATAAGTACCTTCAAGAGATAGCTGTGCATCCAGTCGAGTGTTTGAGGGAAAGTTGTAGCAGATAGATTCACCACAGTCATACCCTGATGAGTTATAGAAGTACTTATAGCAAAACGTTAGCAAACTCTCAGGCGAAAAACTCGTCCCGATTAATACCATTCCTAGAGCATTGTAAATCCCTTTTCTCATTTTCGAGTTCTTGGAAAACAGTTGAGAAAAGAATTTTGCAACATAATGAAACTAGCTTTCTCCAAGAACACAAACGTATGTATAGCAGGTATCTGATATTTATACCTGCGACTCAAATGAAGTGAGGTAATCCTGAATAATTTGAAGTCTTCTTATTAAAGCATCTTTGTCCTGCACGGAATGGAGAACAAACAGGCAATATTGAGCGCAACTTTTTTCATTAAAAAAAAGAAAGAAACACATTTTGTTTCTCAAGTTATGATTATTACCCCTTCGTAAACTCATGACGAACCAACACTCCCACGAGCAAGTTCACCCCATTCATACGGGAAAATATACGCAGAACCCAAATTTGTACTCATCATAGAAATGAAAAGGAGAAAATTGCGAAACTTGTTATGGTTTTCAGAAGATATAAGGCCCTCCAAGGAAACAGCAAGTAAACTACCTCTTGTGAGACACTTTTCCCGGTCTCTGCTGTGCGGCTGGCTGTCCATTCCTGGAGTAGAGTCTGGATATGACACAAAACACATCTTAATGATGTTTACAAGATGACAGCAACCATCTCCTTCAAAGTCAGAAAATTTCCTGTCCTACAGGATGCACTATGGCCAAGTGCAAAACCCCGGATTGCAGATCACATGATGGATCGAAAAGAGCCCTACAAACAACCACTAAAACGTTTCTTTCACATACACATACCTGGTGATCAACATCAGCCATTTTCAGCACAACTGGTACAATTATGCATTTCGGTGGAGTCCATTTCACTGGTAATTTTTCATCTTTACTCACCACAGATTCTCCAGATGCTCCTGCATTTTCACGAAAAGTGGACTCAAGGCTTATGTGAAGGTAATAACGTCTTCTTTATTTAGTCTTAAACGATACACCTCATTATACCCCAAAAAAAAAGCACATAAAAGATTCGTCAACATATAACAGTTGCATGGATAAAATTGTGTTAACACTCTCTAGATGGATAGGTTGCTGGAAAGAGTTTTACCGTTATTTGTGCCTTCTGCGACTGCTGCACTGTCCGGCCTTGAAGGTGAGGCCTTCATTTGTACTGCACCACTTCCAAACCCTCCACTTTCCTCATTCATAAGATAGATAGCTGGATCCAAGTGAAGACCCTATTTGCAAAGCAATCCCACATCACTTAAATAATCATTCAAAAGACGTAGGCCACATTAGTAAAACTAAAGTATCAGCATGACCTCAATATGATCTAGGACTCAGGGCAGCATTATGAATTAGACATGATTTTCTATGGTATTCAACTGCGTTGCATTTACGCAAAGCAGAAATAGTGCAACGAGTTCCGAGTCACTTCTCACAGTCTAAAATCAGATAAGACAGCTACGAAGAACCTTGAAATTTAATTATCCTCCATGGAATCAGATTGATCCATCAATCAATCTCAATATCAGGTTATGAATACAAACCTCAATAATGACTGGCTTTCCATCTTTCATAGCCTTCTTCAGATCACCATCTAGCCCTAGTATCCAAAAAAAACTAACCTGTCAGGTATAGTCTATAGTAAAGTTGGAAATTGTCTCAGAAACAACGGAATAGGCAGTTTAAATGTTGTTTAATGAACTCCGTCCCCACGTGAACAAGGTAGCGAATGGTGGAAAAATGGAGGGAAGACAACCAGAAACAAAATGCATATGCAGAAGAAACTCCACATAATGCAAGAGGGAATGGTAGCAGCAGACCTTTACGGACAACACGACATTCGCGGCAAAACTCAGTGATCAGCTCCTCAGACGAAGCGAAATCTCGGGCCCACACAGGCGTTGATGCAAGAGGAGCGCTATTCACATGGCTGTAGAGACAAATAGACACAGAATCTTAATAGACATAAACAGATCCTTTTCACACACACACACACACACACACACATATATATATATATATATATGTATATATATATCGAGAGAGAGAGAGAGAGAGAGAGAGAGAGAGAGAGAGAGAGAGAATCATAAAATTCGGAGGAATAATGGAAATACGACTTGCAATGAAAACCTTAAGGGAGGTGTGGGATTACTCTGTAGTGGTGCGAAGTAACTCGTACACCATGTCTGTCTGTGAGCATTGAACCATTTTGCAGAATAAGAAACTATTCACAAATTACAAACAAATAAGCGTCATCCTCACAAAAGACAATGATGGTGCAACTCTCAGTGAGCTATACAAACCTGCAGAACGTTCGGTAGATTGAGGCGCTGAGCGAGTTGAGTGGCGAGTGTAGACTTTCCAACACAAGCGGTGCCACATACGAGAATTATCAAAGGCATTCGTTGGTGATGGAACCTGTTCCACACAAGACAATGATCCTCAGCGACAGCTATCAGCACTAGTCTCCTGCTATGGTGCTGATCATTCATTACTACTTCTACTACTACTCTCGAATTTTTAGAGTGTCGAGCGATTGACACTTATGTTGAGGTGAAGAGTATACCAGAAGATTAAACCAATGTGTACAATCAAGACATTTTGGTATACGCGTTCATGGACACAGCAATATTGAGGCTGAACGGTAACCTGGTCATCATTTTATAGCGCTCAATATATTCCGCACCATAGCCTCGTCGCTCCATCAGCTGCATTTACAAAATCTTTAAAATGAGAATTTGCCATACTGAAAAGTCGGATCTGCAATACGTGAGACCAGAAATGTACGATGGCCGAAAGACAAATCAAGCACTGTTGCATGGTTGCGGTGATACAATTTATACGCTTCATTTATGTAGGAAGTCGTTATAAAAACCACGACAACATTAACTTCGCGTTCTAAGTCTTGGATGAACTGTTACACTGTAACATTATAGACCGGCACATTTTACCTTGAATAAATTCGCCTCCAGATCCGACTGCGAACTGTCAATACACAATATTTATACAAGTTAGGGGAAGATCCACATGAGAGGTCAACATGAGAGGTCCTACAATCAAACGTCATACAAATGAGCCAGAATAGTGGAAGCAAAGAACGAAAATGATAAAGCAGAGATGATTGAAATGATCTTTTGATTGAGAAGTTCTATTAATCTTTGTGATACAAGTAGAGGGCTTACACATCAAGCAAGCTGTTGTCAATGAGAAGTTTCTTGAGCTCCAAGGAGATTTTTATTGCTACATGATTTGGGATCTACCAGACACTCATGGTAATGTCAGCACACGACAAATTCCTTGAACGCCGACACATTATTCTTCAAGCTCAAGCTCATCAAGCAAAATGAGAAAGATGGGATGCATAACACTAGCAACTATGGCGCCCAGATTTTGTTACAAAAGCGGAGTACAGACTCATGAAAAAAATGCTCTTTCTCTCCAAGTTTGGAGTAAAACAATCCCATCTTTCGAATGTTCATCACTTAATTCGTGTTGCGAGGTGCGCGAAGTACCTTGGTGACAAGCAGCATGCGACTGATCAGAAAGCGCGACAAAATGTAATAGTGATCCGAATTGGCCCCCAACCATACCTTCACCTGTATTCAGATCCATTTAGAGGTGAACCTCCACTTTAGTAGCGAGGAATACCAGGAGCACTCAAGATCAATGTCAACCAAAAAAGAACTATCCTTGGATAATTGATCACAACGTCGGTAAAACTAACAAACAAGCAGAATTGCGCTCCAGGGATTCGTCGTCAGTTCAAAGGGCTCTTATTGTGCTACTAAATAAAGAAAAGAGCAACCTCCCGCTTCAGAACTATGTCAACACGCAAGAACTAGACTCCTCTGCCAAAATTCACTTCGACACTCAACTCACGAATTAATCGGAAATGTTGCGGAAGGGAAGAATAAATAAACCTTGACAAAATCGTACTTCGAAGCCGTCCCTCGGGCCGTCTGAGGTCCACTCCCTGGGGTTGTCTGAGGAGCTCCATGGCCACTCCCACCTGCTGCAGTTGCTTCTTCCACCTGCACCGTGCCATTGGAGCCAGACGCCATGGCGGATCGTTGCAAGTGATCCCAAGTCCAGAATAATAAAAAGCAAACAAACAAACAATGCACACGATGTCCCCACCAGCGCAAAACCTTCACTTTTCGGCTCTCTCTCAAGAAGACTGATGAATCGCCAGGTTGCTCTCGACTACCAACTCCTGAGTTGGGCGTGTGCAGCCTTCCAAGACACGCGGAGATGATTTCTGCGCCGCTGAAAGTTACAGAGCTGTTAGGTAGTAGCTACCTAGGAGGGTAGCAGCTGAGCCTATCCCATAGCCCAGGGCACCCCGAGCAGGCGACTCAGAGCGGAGGGATTGACCCTCCTTAGCCGTCGGTTCCGATGCGGGTATCTCAAGGCTCGTGCAGGCGGACGCCTACCTTCTACGAAATTGTTGTTACCGCAAATCCAAGCGTGAGAATCAGCAGAGGTGAAAACCGTACCGAGATTCTAGCAATTCATGCATGAGAGGAAAAGAAATGGATATCTCAGCTCTTTCTCTTCCAAACACCTCCGCCGTGAAAAGCTGAACCTATATTGGTGAGAACGCAAGTCTTGGTATCTGGAAGGAACAGGAAAGGAGTTGATGACTCGGGACCGTATTTCAATGTGATGGAAGTTGTTCACTCGCTGACAGAGAAATGGTCCTGAGAGGAGATAAACAAAAACAAAACGAAAAGAAACAAAAAGCAAAGCAGAGATTAATATGCAAAGGAAATGTTCTTCCAGAACCCCCGGACTTCGAATGCTGAAACAAAAGTAAAGAGGGATAAGTTAACGTGCACCAACTCAAGTCAAAAGAACTCATCCAGGTCATTCCAGGGACACGGCGGAAAAGCCAGCGCTGGTCTGTACCCACAAGACGTTGCTAAACGTGGCAACAAACGTGCGCCCCGTGAAATACTGCATAATGATGTTGTTGCAGCATGCAATTGGCATTACTCCGCCGCTGCTGCTGGTGGTTATAGGCAATGCAATGCTTCAAGGGTGAGCGGGAAGAATCCCACACAGCCCAGCGCTGCGCACAGTTGGTCGAAGATGCAACCCCGCGATCAGTCGAACAACGAAGAAGAACCGGGGCCACACCGCATCCACGACGCCGAGCTCTCAAGATTCAGAGGTGCTGAAACCGGATCCGGGCAGACGGGCAGCAAGGCTTAGGGCAGGTGCGGGCAGGTCAAAGAAGTCATGAGTGCATGAGGGAGGGCAGGAGTGTTCCCGGGGGCGGGGGGGACAACACCGTGTTCCCGGCGCCCCTGTAAAGATGCCGCGGGGGGTGTTGACATGGATGGGTGCCGGAAGCCCCGGACACCGCGTTACTACTTCCACGAATGGAGGGCCGGGGCGGTAGTTGCCGGGCCCGGCTGGGCTGTCCCCGGCACGGGATCTCCATGGAACCTCCCCCCCTCTCCCGCCGTGTGAATACGGAATTCTATGGTAGTTGGTGAAAGAACCTGGTTGTTGGAATTTATTTATTTATTTATTTTAGAATGTGCGTGTATGAGAGAAATGATGAAAGGTTCAATTTTTGTGATTTTTTAGAATTTTGATATAAATTTAGAGTTTTTATTTATGAATAACTCTTCTTATTAAATTTTTATATCCATTAGATTAGTTAAGCAAAAAGAATTCATACAATATGTTGACTATGTAGGTGTTCAATCAATCCTAAACTCTAAACATCTAATAATGCTTATAGATCCACACTATGTCTTAGAAGCTTCTTTGTTCTTTTGCAAGAAAATAAATTTTATTTATTTATACTTGTGTTTAATTAAAGAATATGAATAGTGAAAGTATCAATATATTTAAAAATTTTAAAATACAAAAAATACCTTTTTAAACCTGAATTATATATAATATAAAATACCTTTTTAAACCTGAATTATATATAATTTTATATTTTATTTACAATAAAGGAATTTTATTTCTATATATATATATATATAGAGAGAGAGAGAGAGAGAGAGAGAGAGAGAGAGAGAGAGATTTTATTAAAGTATTGTGATTAGATTTTAAAAAGACTCTAAGATGGGTGATATTTTATTTGTGATTAAACTTATAAATGTATTGCTTATATTGTCACAAAGTCTTATACAAGAAAAAACAAGATATTTTCTTATAGCCAATATTTTATTCTAATAGATTCAGAATAATTGTTTTTAAATTTTATTTCATAAATCATATCAATACAACTTATATTGTTTCTTAATTGTAAAATGTTTAAGTAATATAAATTGTGACTTTATAATACATGTTAAAATGCATAGAAGTAATAAATAAAAACAAAAAAAACAAAAAAACAAAAACAAATACATACATACATTCAACTACAATAATATTGCTAATTGATGCAAATTTAATCTATAAACAAAAGTAGCAAGAAATATACAATATATACATCTTTAGTAAAATCTTAAGAAAAACATCCATAAAAGTGCATAAATAAAAATTAAAAATATGAATCTATATGCATATAATAATCCACACTGTTTTCTTTGATGTTCATATTCAACATGTGTTGTGTTTATGGTTGGAACTATTGTTCTTTTAATAACAATATATTGATTTTTTTAAAAGAATATTCTTTTCAAAATATTTTATAAAATAGGTGTATATTACAGATTAACTTTCTTACAATTATTAAATTTTTGAAACTACCAATTCTAATTTAATTGTAGGAAAAAATTTAAATTTTTTATTAAAAATGAGTGATTTTTGAAGCATTGGTATTTTTATTATTTATTTATTTCATCAACTATATTATTGAGGAAGATTTTTTTGTAACTTCAAAACCAATTTAATAATAAAAATTATAAATATGAAAAAATTTAAATTTCAAGCTAAATAAACACTCTTCTAAAATCATATATTATGTGTTTTGTTTTGTACAAAACAACATACTTTGTCATTATGTTTTTTCTACGTAATTTTTATAATAATTCTCAATTCTATGAATATAAAATACATTTAATCAATCTAAGAAATTTGAGTTAGTGTATAGAAGAAAATTTTGAATTTATTAAAATAGGTATAACTAAAAATTAATTTAATAAAGTATACAACAATTGATACAAGATCAAATTAAGCTTTTATACTTTGTTAGAAACTTTAGAATAATGCATGAAAATTTTATTATCAAAATAAATAAATAAAAAACATAGCAATAGCTATTTTATTTTAAATTTATGATATTCAAACTAATTTGTGAATGGCATAAAAATTAAAATTTATGCAAAGCCATCGGTAAATAGTTTGGTCTTTAGTAGAAAGATTGTGCTTCTTATAAATTAAAAATTCTAAAAGATTGACCATGGATGTAGGTTATAAGAGCTAAATTTTTATGGTATAACTTATTTATATTCTATTATTATTATTATTATTATTATTATTATTATTATTTAATTATATTTTAATTTAAAATACTTAAAATAATATTTTAAAAAAACTTTAAATCAGGTATTTTGACTTTGAATGTTATAAAAGTGGCATCAAAATTTTAAAATTTTAAGGTCAAAAATAATAAACTATTGTTTAAAAGTTTTTATCTTAAAATAAAAATTAAAAACAAATTAGTGAATATGAAGAAGTCAATGTATTATAGATGTGAAGTGGCAATTATTGTAAAATTTATCTTTAGCTAAATTGGTGCATATTTAAGACTATGATCATTACAAATAGTTAATATATTTTTTTTTTTAAATAAAAATAAAAATAAAAATAATTTCAATATATCTTTTAGTCAAAGTAATTCATTATTAGAATAAGAATGTGATTTTTTTATAAATATTAATATGAGATGAAACATGTGTGTTTTTTTCTTATTTTATAGTATAGTTTATGTATTGTTAGCATTAATGCCAAGAAGTGTACCAAGTTGCAAAAAGTATAGATATTTTTAGGAGAATGTTTAGTTCTAATTTGCACACAAAGATTTTATACTAATTGTATAAAGATGAGACTTGATATATTGTCCCAAAGTGCCAAAAATGATATTTGTATATATCTTATAACAATTGAATAGTAATTTGGTATCAAAACAATTCTACACTTATATAATAATGTTGATTTGACAAGTTATTGTAGATAGAAACAAAACTCTTCCTTGATTCTAACTTATTTAATATATAAAGAATTTTTTGATTAAATCTTATCTAAGCACCAATTCAAACCTTCTTGGTAGTCTTCAGATTTTTTTACATTCAACATTAATCATATCTATTTAAAAAAAGAATATAATTTTTTTTAGTAGTAAACATTGTAAGAGAATTAATTACACATCAAATTGTTATAATATATGTTAATTTAATATTTTGGTGTAATTTCACATAATAAGTCTTAAGAATTTAAATTTTATAAGAATAGCAAGTTTTATATCTAAAAGTTTGCACAATGAGATATATTTTGTAAAATTTTATAAAAAATAAATAAATAATATTTTAGCCTTTGTTATTAAATCATAGACAAGCACATATATAATTTTAAATATAAATAAGTATTATAAAAATGAATATTTTTATTAATATGGAATTATTTAGTTGCATTGAAAATTAAAAATGTAAGATGGTACACCATAAATTGTATTTTCTAAAATAAAAGAAAAAATTAAAAGAATATTATACTTCAAGCAATTATACATTGATACTTATATCCTGAAAACCATTGTAGTTAGGTATTAAAAGCATAATAAATACTATTAAATTTAATTTCAAAGTTCTTACACATATTTAGAAAAAAAAAATTATTATAGACTCTAGATAATAAACAAAACCACATCAATAGCTATGAAATCAGCCATTGGTTTGTTGAAAATTTTATATGCATTAGATAATAACTATAAGAATCTTTACAATATAAAATACAAACTTATTCAACCAAATTTTGTTTTATGAATATATATATATATATATATATATATATATACTCAAATAGAAAATTTTTGAGTTTATGACACATTAATAAAGAAGATTTAGTATATTAATTTTAGTATTAATAAAAAATAAAAAATAGATAAAAAAATAGTTAAAATTAAACTAAATAAATAAAAAGAAGTGATGGAATTATAGAAGAAGAAAATAGTATCCACAAGCATAATGATTAAGTCTAAGAAAAATACTAGGATTAATGCAAAATAAGATCTATAAAGGTTAATAAGATAAGAAATTACATCAACAAGTAAATTAATACTATTAATAGAAATAATAATATGATAGAATTTGAAGGCATTAATCTTATTAGTATAGTAATAGGACTCCTTTACTCTCTTTAAGTTTTTTAAATAAACAAAGAAGTAAAAGAAAAGTTGGGTTTTTTTTTTTTTTTTTTTTAAATCACAATAACAATAAAATAATAAATATGTGTGCATAATAATCCAGAAGATAAAGATAGACAACAAAATAAATTAAGAAATAGAAACAAAAAGAAAATTTCTTGGCTCTTGTGTACGGTTAAAGAAAATAATAGAACTTAAATCCAAGAGCTTTTTTGTCAAAATTTTCTTTAAAGATGTGAATCTTATGAAGATTATAACTAGGAAGTAAATGGTCTAATTTTAGATTGAATTTCATATTAGATCTTATTGATATAAAGAAGACAATTATTAATAATAAAAAATCAAAGAAGCAAAATTCAACGTTTTCTTATTAAATTTAAGTAGGAGATTCTTCACAAAGTTTTCCAAGAAGTTATTAGAAAAAATACCAAGAGTCATATTTATTTTTTAAAAAGAATTATGTAAATATAAAGCATATTTTAAAAATTTCAAATCCATTAAATATCTACTTAGAAAATATTTTTATTTTATAAATACCAAAAACATGTTGAATTGATTATTATTAATTATTTAATAATAAATTCTTAAACTCTTTTCTAAATATTTATTTCATAATCTTATTGAATTAGTTCTATTAAAGATTATATTATTCAATAAAAAATATTTAAAGAAAGAAGAAATGAAAAAAGAAAAAAAAAAAGAAAAAAAAGAAAAAAAGAAAACAAAATAACAAACAAACAACAATAAACAATAACAATAATAAATAAATTTGGTCTCTAACAAGTTATTATTGAGGTGTTGAAGACTTTTTAGGATTTTTTTAGGATCATGGTTTAGGATTTGACTTTGCTAGATATAAGGTAGCTGTGATTTATTAGAATGTTCTTTGGATTAGAATTTAGAATTAGATTTTTTAAAAAATAGAAAAATTACACTTTTTTAAGAAAATCTCAAAATTAATATTTGTTATGAATTAAGCTCAGGATTTAGAAATTTCTTAAGTTTGAAATTAGATTTGATCAAGTGTTGGACGTAAAATGGTTTTTAGATTTTTTTAAATACTGGATGTAAATCCTTTATTAAATTTATGGCTGACATTTTAATTTTAAAAATATAGAAAATAATTGTCTTGAGATTTAAAAGACAAAAATATTAAAAATAACTAATAGTAATAATTTATATGCAATTATATTTACAATCCACAAAGTGATACTTGGAAATTTTCTTTTAAAGTCAAATAATACCATAGATATGTGTTAATTCTATTTTGTAGATTTATAAAGACTAACTTATAAAAGATTATAAATAAAATTTTATTTGTATACTTTGATTACTTTAATAAATATATATAAAAATGTGTTTATATATATATATATATATATATATATATTACTTGATCAAAGGTATATTATTAAGAGAACCACCAAGTATACATTCTATTTTTATAGTATAAACACCTCTTTTTTATTGCGTAAATACTTTATAAGCCACATCTATACTACTGCTACAAGTTTTTCATCAAGCTTGGTACTAATGAGTGTGAAAGATATTAAAACATCAACATAAAAACAACAACCTACAAGACAAGAATATCAACAATACAAAAACTAATCAAATTAAACTAAACAAATAGTAAAAAGGAGGAGCCTACCTAGTAGAATTGTTATGTTGGTACTCCTTTTTATTTGTTTGAATTGCTTAGCCTCTATATCACCAATGTTCATGTATTGTATGTTGTTGTTTTTATACTTTTTAGTGCCATTAATGTCCAACATGTAGAGAAACTTTGTAGCAATGGTGTATTGTTGGTGTGATAGGAAAAGTGTCAATACAATAAAAGAGGTGTGTCTACTTAATGGTTTCTATCATTAAATTAAAAAAATAAATTATTTTTTATCAATTAATTAGAAGAATCATAAAAAATTAGTCCTATTTGTTCATTTGATTATATATATATATATATATATATATATATACAAATATATTTGTTTCAATCTATATGGTGGCATAATTAGTGGTGAATAGAATATGATCAAATATAATACATGGAGTACATACAAAATAATCTACAGAGTAAAATTCAATTTCTAGGATGAATTTCTTAGTAACACAAGTATAAATTTGAATACTACCAATTAGATAACAAACTCATACATTAACTAATGTCTTCATTACGAAAAAAAAAAAAAATCAAATGTTCTTAGGCAATAGCACACAAAGAATGATTTTTTAAAGTGCAACATCCAAGAAACAAATTCCACTTGCACTATCTTTTAAATTTTTTTTAATCTTTTTTTTTTAATATTAGGTAGAAATATATTGATCTGAAGATAAGCTACAGCAAGGTGGATCTTACATCGTTGAATGTTAAACAAGCTAACATTTCAAAGGATATCCTAAATTTATTAGTACCCATGTTATCTAACTGAAAGGCACGACATCACATGATAATCAACACACATTGGTACAAAAATTTAAGTGTAGAAGAACAATAATCAACACACATGGGTGGAAAAATTTGGGGTAGAAGAGCAAGAGAACATTGGATAAGGGTTCTAATTAGGGTTTGAATTAGGATTAAGAAACGGAAGGGTGAAGAGTGTGGTCGGGCCCACAAACGGGTTGCGGTGTCGAGGCGTTGGCGACGGCGATGGCCCCGATGACGACGACGACGACGACGATGACGATGATGCGGAAACGGAGTTGACTGGCGGAATTCGGATGAGACCAGACATGTAGACAGTGCTCTGGGTGCGGATTCCCTGCGAAGCTGGGCGGCTACCGTAGATTGCTACCTTCGGTTTTCTGATGCCTTTGTGTCAGTCGCCTTCAGCCTCTGCTGCGCTGCTGCGAGAGCAAGACCGTGCTTGCGCATCCTGGCCCCAAGAATTTTGCAGGTGAAACCCATGCTGTGATTCTGGGGATCGTAACAAATGTGGTGATATTCAATTGGGAAACCATGTCTGGGCGGCCATTTACCATACTCAGGTACGGATTTGCACACCTCCTCAACGGGAACTCGACGAAACCAGCAATAGTTTTTTCTCCCTTGCTGGATGCAATTATTCTACTGGCCGGTGGCATAATGTTGTTGTTGCCATTCGATGCGCGCGTGTTCCTTTCGTGATAGGTTGTCTTGTTACGGCACTTGTGTCACTCTTTGTCTCGTTAGCGAATTCCTGCTGGAGTAGCAATTTCTGCCGAAGCCCCGACTAGGGTTATTCAGCCTCCTGGATTTCCTTCTGACTGGTGATGGCATAATCCAGAATTGTTAGGAGCTTGCCTTTTTTTCAACGAGAAGTTAGTTTGCTGTTACATCGAGTGAATCTGGATTTGTTCATTTCAGTGCTTCAAGGCGAGTAATCCGACTTCACCATAAAGCATGGATTGCTTGCAGTAACTTTTTTTCGATTCGCAGTAGGTCTTCAGTAGCAGGGAAATTCGCGCAAGTTTTCTTTGCACTATGCAGCTGAATTATTCGACTGTTCAAATGAAGAACCAAGTCATTCTCTGCAGCACTATTTCTTTGTAATGGTGACCAGGGTTTGTGGTTTGAGATGTGGGTTTTGTGGATGCAGAATTCCATTTCTAGATGCTAGTCGATGTCGGTGACTGTTTGGGCTGAAGCTTAACTCCGAGCAAGTCTATACTCAGGTGAGACAGTACCTTCGTGATTAATAGCATGTTAAGTATGCGTTCGTGATCGCTAATAACATCAATATGTTGCTTCTTACAAAGTAGATTGAACTGTTTGTCGTGTTTGGTTGTTTTATTATTTTCGCAATCCACGATATAGTTGGAATTCGTTTTTGTAAACACTATGGGGACATGCCAAGCTTTGAACGACTTCTTACACTATTTTTGCGGCGCTCACAGTGTTGTTTCCATATGCGCATCTGATTAAGTTTCAGAATTTTGTTGTCTGCTCTAATCCTCAACTAAAGCGTTCTTTTTATGTATGTCCAGGGCCATATTCAGGTGATCCTTTTTGAGAACGGGCATTATTCAAGAATGGCAATTTATTAGTCAGTATCTCACCTGCTCTTCTTCCACTCTTTTTTTTCTTCTCTTGCTTACAGTTTGACATACCATACCAGAATCTGCAAAGCTGAATACCTCAAAACATGTTCTGACCCCTCTGCTGGCTCTTGTGACTTGGCAGCTGCAGAGGATGCAACCGATGTCTAAACCTTAGCGACGAGTTCCTGTATCCACCGAAGACATACTTCGAAGCCGGCAACAAAGGCACAGTGTCCTTCTCGGCAGTGGATAAGACCGACTTCCGCCAAAAGGAGCAGAACAAATGCTTCCCATTCTTTGAGACTTTGGATTACTGGGGCTTTCGAAGACGGCGCACAAAGCTGACTTGCGGAGCATGTGGGAAGCACTTGGGTTATATCTACTACGACGTGCCTGCTGAGCCTGAAATCGGTCAGGGCGGATTTGGGCACTCTCAAATGGTTCCTCGCCATCCGCGTTACCGCATGAAGCGAGAAGCCATTCGGATTTCTGGTTAATGTGGCTTTGCATGTGTTTTAAGCTCACGTTTTCACCCAGTTAGTTGTAATTATCATAACCATTCTTTCTGAATGCGTGATGTATGCTGTTCTGTTATCTTAAACTAGATTAGTATCAGAAAATTTGCCCCTAGCCTGTATGTACAAGCCAGCTGATAGCTTTGCTTATTCTTGTTAAGCGTGCATATTCGAAACCTTCTTTGAATCTTGTATCCTTGGATATTTTGTAAGTTCAATCTTTTGGGTGCGTTGAGGTTTTTTCACTGATATTAGTGTCGACTCAACTCAAACTGAGAAAAAGGATGGACCAAATAAATATGTTAAGAGACTTAAAACAATAAAGTCTTTCAATAGTAGATCAAATAGAACAAGTGAGTCCTCAGTTTTGAAAAAAATTGAAGGTCAATTTTTATGACTTGAAATTATCACTATATTGTAAATTAAATATCCACATTACATTTTATCTTCATTACATTCATTTAATAAATTTACTATCACAAACAATGCTTACATCACTTCATTGCTGGATATGCTTTGATTTTAACAAAACTATTTGTATTTAAATATATGAAATTACCTCAAAATCATGAATAAACATGACTGGTAATGAAATATGTATATCAAGATTAAACAATAGTAGCAAAAAATAAGTATATTTAAAATCTCAAAACACTTGAATAGCAATGTTGCAATTTAAGAAAATTCCCAAGTTACAACATAAGCAAGTTGAAAATAGATACCAGTATAGACGATTATTTATTTTTATTTTTCTTTTTCTTTTTTATTTATTTTTAATCGAAAACAATCAATTTTTTTTTTTTTTTTTTTTTTTTTGTTAAAAATATATATATATATATATATATATGTGTGTGTGTGTGTGTGTGTGTGTGTGTGTTGATAGTATCATTCAAACACTCACATTTAAAACTCATAAATTATTTTGTTCATGAGTTGAAAGTATACAATAAATCCATAATCAATTTTTTCTATTTTGTATTTTCAAATAAAAAAAAATTTAATTTATTTAATTTTCTAATAAAATTTTCTAAAAGTTTTTTTTTTTTTTTTTTTTTTTTTTTTTTCTCTCCATAGGTTAGAACATCAACCAATTGTAGAGTACTCTATAAAAGTAGAAAAGCCAACAAATTATTTTTTTGATGTTTTTGATTGAATTTGGAAGTTACTTTCTCTTATTTATGAAATAATCCATTTTACTTTTATTTTTTTACGAAGAGATTTAATTTTAAATACTACTGATAGAAATATATTAAAATAATAAAATAAACCAATTATAAGATTCTAAAGAATATCAAAATATTTCTCAATCATGTTTCTATCAAAATTTTAATATTTATTACAAGACAAACTATCTATTTCCATGACCTTCTATACAAGGATGTTAGAACTATAGGCATTATTCTAAAATCTCTTTCCATCTAAAATGTTATTTATAAAGAGTTTATAATCCTTATCTTTGCTAAATTAAATAAGTAAATAATATTCTTTGCTATTATAGTAGTTTCAAATGTTTAAAAAAACCAAACAAATAAACTATATATATATATATATATATATATATATATATATATATATATATATATATATATATATATATATAATGTAAAATATGCATTAAAAAACTTATTTAAGTCCTTAAGTTTTTAATTTTTAATATTTTCTTGGTATTTATAAAACTTGTAATTACTAGTTTAATCTAAAGATACTTATTAAAATTCTTTTTGATAGTCTATTTTATTTGGTATTTGTCATACTTAGAAACAAAATAATATTATCTACTTGTATAGCTTTAATATTAGATTATAAATTATTCCTTAAAATTTTAATAAATAGTCTAAATTATATTCTTAAACTTATATTCTATTATTTTAAAAATACATCTAACTAAAAAAGAATCATATTAAATTATTTATTTAAAATAGCTTTTAATTTTTATAAAACATATATTATTTTCAAATCATAATTTCTATTATTTAGTCTTTTAAATTTAATTTTATACATCTATTCATCTTCTTCTTTTAACTTGGTCCAATTTATATTAGTGCCTTACAACTATTTTATATAAGAATCTAATTTGAATATTTTAAAAATGCATGTTTTATTGTTGATTTTTACAAATCTTAGGTACTTTTGCTTCTACTCTAAGAAGAAGTTGTCTTTGTTATCATTATTATAGTTTTTTCTAAACACTTTATTTTAATAAATTTAGAAAATTTTCTTATATCTATTTTTTCTTAAATAAAAATAAAATTATCTTTGTTTCATAGTATGCTTGATTTTTTGTTACATTTTGCACAACAATATTTTGAATTTTAACTATTTCAATTATAAATATGTTTTAGCAACATATTTTTTTGAAACAAGATTAGAATAAGACTTGATAAGTAATAGATAATTTACAATCTCTTACTACTTAAGTACTTTCAAGGTGATTGGTGTGTAGGTTTATATATTTATATATATATATATATATATATATATATATATATATATACACATACACAAATATAAATCCATGTGGTTGGACACAAAAAAGCTATAACTATTTAATTTACTAAATCTAAAATCAAAAACTCTTAAATAAATTGAAAGCTTGTCTTCTTGTCTCTCCACCCTACCCTAAATATGATTTATTTTATTTTTTTTAATTTTTAGAATCTATGCAAATCAAAAAACAACACACTTCTAAATCAAATAAAATAAAATAACAACACATGTTTTTTATCCAAACAAAAATTAAATAAATCTATGTTTATATGTGAAAAAAAAAAGATATGATTTCGTAGAGGATTATGATTTATGTAAACCAAAAAATAATCTTAAAAATACAATGATTTATATTTAAAATTGAATTCAATATTTGTAGACTAAATTATCTTGTATTATTAGATTATTTAATAAATAAGTAACTTTTAAATAAATTACTCAATTTATGTTTGAAATCATTGTATTATTTTGAGAAAAATAATCTCCAATTCCTATATGAACAAAATAAGCAATAATATGATCACTCTCCTATATCAAAAGTAGTCAAAGAAGTGAAGTTATATATTTCATTTGGCAATATTATTAAGCTTGAACACTTGTTTATTTTTAAGGTAGTTAAAGATGAAAGATTGTCTAATTCATTTGGCAATGATGTTAAACTAGAGCATCTTTTTGTATATAAATTATTCAAAGATGTGATGTTGCTAAATTCATTTTGCAATAATACTAAGTTTGAGGACTCACTTATATCAGAGGTAGTCAAAGATATGAGATTGCCCAATTCATTTGGCAATAATATCAAGCTTGAGAACTTCTTTATATCAAAGGTAGTCAAAGATGTAAGGTTGCTTCATTTATTTAGCAATGATGCTAAGTTTACACACTAGCTTATTTTTAACATAATCTAAGGGTGATATTGCCAAATTCATTTAGCGATGATATCAACCTTAAGAACGAACTCTTATTTAATGAAGTCAAAGATACAAGGTTACCTAATTTATTTGGCAATAATGACAAGCTTTTGCATGCACTACTATCAAAGGTAGTCAAATTTGCAAGGTTGTGTAATTTGTTGGGTAATGATATAAAGCTTTTGTATTTAACTTAGATTACAAGTGGTCAAAGATGTGAGGTTGCATAATTTATTTGGCAATGATGTCAAGCTTAAGTATTGAAGCTAATCAAAGATGTAAAGTTTTTTAATAAATAATTCTTGTCATTCTTAAGCTAATCAAAGATGAGAGGTTGTTTAATTTATTTAGTAATATTGTTAAGCTTGAGCACTTACTTCTATTCAAAGTAGTGAAAGATGTGATATTGCCTAAATTATTTAGCATTAATGTAAGCTTTTGTGCTTACTTATATCAAAGGTAATGAAAGATATAAGATTTTAATTTTATAAAAAAAACTAATTTCAAGCTTTTTCTTTGATTTATATCAAAGGTAATTAAAGTTGTAAAATTGTCTAATTTGATTAACAATCATATCAAGCTCTTATATTTATTTACAAAAAATATAGTTAAAGAAGTAAAGTTGTATAATTTATTTGTCAATGATGTTAAGCATCAATACCTTTTATGTTAAAAGAAGTAAAAGACAAGAAATTTTTGAATTCATTTAAAAATGATATCAAGTTATTGCACTATTTATATCAAAGGTAATCAAAGATGTGAGGTTGTTTAATTTATTTGGCAATGTTTTCAAGCTTAAGAATTTGCTTATTTTAAAGTAATCAAAGATGTAAAGTTGACTAATCCATTTGAAAATAATGCCAAATTTGATCATCCTTCCATATTAAAGATAGTCAATTTCAATCTTTGACATACCAAAATCAATCATTTTTAGACTAGAATGTCAAACTATCTTATTCATAATCTTTATTTCTATAATATTAATCAAAATATTATTAAGCTTTGTATCACAATGTATTAAATACATATCATAAAAATAACATATTTATTTTTTAATTTGATGCATAATAATAAAAATAAAAATATTTTTTTTCTTAATATATTATTCTATTTTTTTTTGTTTTTTTTGTATCAATTTTATTTTTATGTATAAATATTGAAGAACAAGCACTTTGAAGTCACAACACTTAGCATCAACAAGGTTGCACACAAAAAGGAGTATGGAGTCAGATAACTCTTACTTCATACACTTGTTACTTATAGGTGGTAGTTGCCAACCAACAAGGCAACTTCTATCAATGTTACATCTATTTCTACTTCTTCCAACTAAACCTTAGGTTCTTTCTTAATCTGGCCACCACCTACAAACCCTAACTGCCACCTACAAATCTTAGAAGCCACCATAGTAACTTCTTTATATTCTTTGCTGCCTTTTGACTACTAGCAACTTATCTAAGGTAATACCTTTTACTAAGTGACTTACTTCAACTTTCCCACTTTGCGATTGGTCAAAGGGCTTTCAATCCTAATGCCTTTGTCAACATGTGGTGTTTATTCTTTACTAATGCCTTTGTCAACAAATTAGCAAGCATGTCTTTCGTTGCATAATACTTCACATCAATCACTCCCATTTCAATCTTCTTTTTTATGAAGTGATGTTGAATGTCAATATGTTTTGTCCTTGAATGATGCTTGGGATTCTTTGCAAATGCAAGACATCCTTGATTGTCACATTTTATTGGAGTTGCTTCCATTTGCACATCTCCAATGTCCTCCAAAAGTTGTCTTAGCCATATTACTTCTATTACACCATGGCTTGCTGCCATGTACTCTGCCTCCATTATTGACCTT